TATATGCACCCCTATGTTTACTGCAGCGTTATTTACAATAGCTAAGAGTTGGAAGCATACCAAGTGCCCATCAGTAGATGAGTGGATAAAAAAGCTGTGCTACATTTACACCATGGAATACTACTTGGCTGTAAAAAAGAAGGAAATCTTACCTTTTGTGCCAGCAGGGATGGACCTGGAGATTATGCTAAGTGAAATGAGCCAGTCAGAGAAAGACAACTACCATCTGATCTCACTTACATGTAGATCTAATGAACAAAATAAACTGACACACAAAACAGAAACAGAGGCATGGATACAGAAGCGACTGGCAGCTGTCAGGGGGAAGGAGCTTGGGGAGCTGGATTAAAGAAGGTGAAGGAATTAAGCAAAAAACAGAAACAAAACACCATATATATGTACAACACATAGACACAGACAGCAATGTGGTGATATCCAGAAGGAAAGGGGGTGGGTATAGGTGGAATGGGGCAAAGGAAGGATAAATGGGGACTAAAAGAGACCTTGCTTTGGGCCATGGACGCTTGATGCAGTGTGCAGATGATGTTTTTTTGAGTTGTACACTTCTAACCTGTATGGTTTTGTGAATCAATTTCACCCCAACAAATTTAATAAAGAAGAATAATGAACTCATTCATGTCATAGATTTGAGCCACTGCAAAGTTTGACATTCCATGCTTAAATTTATTCACGTTTTAGATTTCTTTACTTTTACTTTACAAGCACTGATACTTGTCTTTGGTTCCTAGCTGTGTTGGATAGTAAGACTACAGAGAGATAAGGATGCTGGATTTCTTACTTGACTAATATGGAGTGGCTTGCTTATGTAATATGACAACTCGACCATTCAGATTTTGCCAGCAAAATAAAAAATGACTAGATATTCAGTTTTCAGGGTTCTGAAAAATAGTAGAAACTTTGTCAAATCTAGAAAATTTGAGGATCTCTTTTAAGTTAAATATCTCTTTTCTGATTTTTAGTTCCATCTCTCCTACCCTTTGCATTTATAATGGTTTCCAGAGATTTTGAATTTAGTGATTCAATTCTTTGTAAACAATTTTCTCAGATTAAATTTACTGCCAACTTTTTATAATGTTGGTGTAGCATTTAATAAGTTTCTTCACTATATGTATATTTTTCTCTTTGTATCGGCATAATCCATACTGAAAAATGCAATGATAACTGTAAACCTTCATGATTTTTGAACATACCCAGAAAGTCAGAGCAGAAACATTTCTGGCACTCCAGAAGGCCCATTGGTGTCCATTTCCAGTCAATCCCAACTGTAACTACCAATAGTATATTGGAGGTTGCTTGCAGCAGCTCTTGTGAGTTGATTGTTGAATTTTCAAGAACTTGGAGAGGCAGTTCTTAAACACAGCCAATATGAACAATGAAATTATATTAAGTTAATATATTTAAATATAAAAATTTTCCTTTGGTTTACAAAGCTCCGCTTGGAGTGTTTTAAATGAATCATCTTCAATTTTTTAAAGACAAAATTAATTTATTGAAGTCAAACTACTAACTCACTCTACCTTGGAAAATTGCATAGGGAAGCATGTGGGCGCTGACGGCGCCCGCGGCGGATTGCCTGGCGGCGAGAGCCGGGCCCAGGGCTGAAGGGCCCCTAGTGGTCCGCGGCTGGAGCCCTGCCCCGGGGCGTGGGGTCAGCCAATCAGGAGGCACGGGGCTCCCTCCGCCCAGCCTCTGAAAAGCCCTGGAGAAAGTGTCCTGGGCTGAGGGTAAAACCCAGGGAAGGGAAAACTTGGGCAGGAGCCCGCCCGCGGGGCACAGCTCTCTTCCTGGTCCACTTTATTTCTGAAATAAGTAGGATACGGAGTCCGCTCAAAGGCCAGGTCACACTGAAAGAGCTTTAGACAGTGGCAGGTAGGGGCCTGCGGCCGGTTTGGCTGGCGATGCCCGTTTTCAAAGTACCGAATTGGCCCCGGTTTTATTCCTTTAGGCCGAATGCCTGAAATCATCTGCGGCTGGGCAGGGGCGAGAGGGCAAGAAGGAGGCGGCCGCCTGGGCAGCGCCGCCCGAGGCCCCCGCAGCCGCAGAGCGCGGCCCTCGT